ATGGTATGGTATGGTATGGTATGGTATGGTATGGTATGGTATGGTATGGTATGGTATGGTATGGTATGGTACGGTACGGTACGGTACGGTACGGTACGGTACGGTACAGTATGGTATGGTATGGTTATTTGTGAAGGTAGATAGCAGCAGCAGCTCTTCCAGTGCAATCCGGGGTATTTCTTGCAAGAACACTAAAATATTTCTGCCACATAATGCAAAACTGGTGGTCAGATAAAGGTTTATAAAATATTGTATACATTATCTACTTTGAAATTTGTAAGACTGGAGTCTTTATTATGGCAGCTATCCACTTTTAGCCCCTCTCACTCTAGCCGTTAGTGCATCAATCTGGTCAGAATAAAAATCTTTCTCCAAACAGAGATTGTTTATAAATCTCTCCACAACAGGTAAGATGTCATTTGTTCAGGACCTTTTTACTGAGCCTCATTTCAAAAGATATGAACAGTTGCTTCAAGGACATGCACACCTAATGTTCACTTAGAGATCTTTCTATTCTGAAGGTCTGTTTCTGTATTTTTCTTTTCTTGTCTGTTCATMGTGTCAGAATGCTTTTGGTTCCTTTCAGTATTGTCATCTCTTCAAACCTAGTCCTGTCTTTGTGAGCTTAACAATGTATTTTTAGCCATAAGTTTGAAAGGTAGTGGGAGGAAAGCACTGGTGATTAACTCCTGACATGACTGAGCAATGCAATACAATTGCAGTTTCCTCCTCTTACAAAACCTTTTGGCTAGGATCCCTCTCAGTGTGATTAGAACGGAGTGCAGAACATTACAAAATAATACTGCACTGATCAAAAGTGAATCCTTGCCAAGAAGTGCCACTTAATGTCATTTTATACTGTATATTGCTGCTTTTGACTAGATTGTATTCATTTGTATGTTGTGAACAGATAGCCGCAAAGCAAGCCGCAGCTGCTGCGACTCAGACCATTGCAGCTGCCCAAAATGCTGCTGCTTCCAACAAAAACACGGCGTCACACCAGCAGTTAGTGCACAGCTGCAAGGTACGGTCGTTCAATCTTTATCATGTACTCAGTTTTATTACAACTTAACTAGTACATTTAAGATTACTGCTAATGTGTTGGTAAACTAAATCTTCATGCATTAGGCTCTTGTAATACCATAAAATGTAGCCTATAAAGATTACATTGTGAATTTATGTCTTCTCAGGCGGTCGCAGACAGTATTCCCCAGTTGGTGCAAGGGATGAGGAGCAGCCAGGCCCAACCTGAGGAGCTTGGCCCCCAACTCGCTCTCATCATGGCCAGTCAGAGCTTCTTGCAGGTTAGTACGTTGCCTTTACAAAATCAGTCACCATCCACTCTTAGCCACGAGTCACACAATTCAAGCACTGCTTTTGTTGCAGCTTTTATACATTTCTTTTTCTATTTTTGTCACCTTCTGTCAGCCGGGAAGTAAGATGGTGACGTCGGCAAAGTCAGCAGTTCCAACGGTGGCTGATCAGGCTGCTGCTATGCAACTGGGCCAGTGTGCCAAGAATTTAGCAACCTGTCTGGCAGAGCTCAGGACTGCGACACAGAAGGTATCCATACACAACACAGTCGGGGATAACAAGATTCATCCAACTGGCACAGGAAATTTGCTACTTTTAAACTTTTATGCAAAACCAGCTATCTGATTCTATCTAGAGATATCAGCGGCATGTAGCGCCACGTCCTGTTTGCTCGGCATATTTGAGTTTGAGACCCTTTTTTTTGTGTGTGTGGGTCTCTGAAGGCCCACGAAGCCTGCGGTCCTCTGGAGATTGATTCAGCCCTCAAGACTGTACAGACACTGAAGAGTGAACTCCAAGATGCGAAGATGTCTGTGATTGATGGCCAACTTAAACCTCTTCCTGGTGAAACGGTCAGTAAATAGTAATAAACTATGTAACAGATATGTTGACTTTACAAACATTTTAAAGTCCTGTGAACTGTTTCTCTCCCCCTCCTCCCACCAAAAAATAAAAAAAATCTGGACAAAGCACAACCAAGTTAAATTAGATTCTGTTCTTAAACCCTTTGGAGCAGTTCCAAAGGCTTAGCTTCTATGTAAAGGTAACATTCTGAACTTTTAACCTCAACTGTCAAATTTAATGCAGCTGTAACTGRTGTGTAGTTAGTGTTCAGTGGTTATACTGCCAGTGGAGAGACCATAGGTTGATCCAGTTGGTCAAAAGAGACCTACACATTTTTGATACTGTGGTATTTAAAATTGAAGACCCAGGCAGAGTCTCTGTGATTATATACAGTTAATAGTTGAGATGTTAAACATGTTTTTTTTAYGTTTTGATGAGTTTCAGAACAGCTTGAACTGTGAGATGCTGATGCTTGCTGCTGCACACCCGTATCACTTCAGGTTCTTAAAACTTTTTAGATTTAATAAATTGAAACTCAAGCTTTGGTTAGTTTAGTTTGCTTTGTTTTGCTGTTTGGTTCTTCCATTGAGTGAATGAACGAAGTGGTTTAAAGAGGGGGGAGTGTTATAATCCACTTATTTGAACTTTATGTCATGTCATAATGTCTATTCCTCATCATACCCAGAGTGTTGCTTCGACTCATTCACGAATGCTTGAGAAATCCTTGAATCTCCTGTGGTAGCCATTCGGAGGTGTCTAAACACTTGCTGGTACAAAGCACCACCTGTTTCCACAAAGCTCCTCCCTGGAGCTCAGTCTGCAGCTGAACTGTCACCCCACAGAGTATCCCTCCCCCAAAGTATTGTTTGAAAATGTGCTGAAGTGGGAATGTCTGAAATGGTAGGAGGTTCTTAAAGAGATAGAGGCAGATTTCAAGGCGTTTAGATTGGCTATGATGCAAAGTCAAATTTATTTATTTAACACTATATATACAGTATTTTAAAACAACTGAAGGTAACATGATATAAAATTGAACTATGTGCCTGGAAAATACATAATACCCCCCCCCCCCCCCACACACACACACACACACACACACACACCTTCAACGTGAGCAACTCATCAGTGGTGGTTCACATCCAACAGGAACAAATTATGGTCCTACGATGTCAGTTATTCAATAATTAAATAAGGTAATTGTCTCCCATCTGTTCTTCTAAAAAAAATTTCAGTAATTTTCCTTTATATAACTAGATTTAAAACATCATTGCAACCGAGTTATCATTTTTAAGGGAGACCTGGGTGCAAACAAACACAAAAGAGTTACAGAGGTCATGACCATACTAAATTAACAAAACAAACTAACAGTTTAGACAATCATAAAAAGGCAGAAACTGTAAGAATGAAAATAAAAAAAACAATAATATTAAAAATAATATATTTAAACCAAAATTTTTTCCAACAACTCTCTTGAGTGATGTGATTTTTTTTTATCAAGCTGCAGATGGACAAGAACGACTTTTATGGACAGCAGTAATTTTATTTTTTCCCAGCTGTATTCAGTAATGTTGTTCAGAGTGAAACAAGGACTAAAGCTGCTAAAACACCCTGAGTTTATTTTATTTGCTCTGACAGTGGACTGATGGTGTCAATTTTTTTTTAATATCTTTTTAATCTGCTTGGTTTGTTCTATAATGCAGTTTTTTTTTTCTAATTTTGAGTTGTGCTGCTCTTACAGCTGGAAAAGTGTGCCCAGGATTTGGGAAGCACATCCAAGGCTGTGGGCTCCTCCATGGCTCAGTTGCTGACATGTGCTGCTCAAGGCAATGAACATTATACAGGTAGTGTACACCATGCAGGTCATAAAAGTCTCAAATTGACATTTATTGTAATCATTCACTTCTTTTTTCTTTTTGGTCTTGATTTGTTACATTCCTGCAGAGGACAGAAATGACAAAAAAAAATATCTGCAATGTTGAGTGTAATGTCTTTAAACAGAATCCCTTAAATCCAGCGTGGCTTTTACTGTTTTGACATCAATTCTGCTTCACAAAATCACAGCGGATTGAAGCCAATGACAAATACAGAATAACAGTTCCAACAACAAACGCTTGCAGGCCCTACTTCGTGCTGCGGCCCAGGGTGCTGCTCGCTGCTCATTAATCTTTTTTTTTCTACTGGATTTAACATTCCATCAGCAAATGGCTTCACTCCACTGGTTAATGTAATTTGATGCAATTTGCTGCTTTTTAACTCTATGTGTAATATTTTAAGAGCATCTCCCATGTGAGGCCAAATTCATTATACAGTATTACCTCATTTATTTGGACAATGAGGGCATTCCAGTTTTTTTTAGTTTGGTCAGATAGGGGCAGCAGTGCTTTTAGAGTTACTGCCTAAACGATGTGGTTTTTTTTTTTATTATTACTTGAACAGGAAAGCTAATTTTGGGAGTTCAAAATTAAATCATGTTATTATCTCATACAAAACAAAATAGGCTTAAATTTGGATGCATCTTCACAGTTTGATATCTACAGTTGTATTTATGCTTAATTATGTTTAACTTAGCATATTCTTTTGACGAATGAAACCGTGGCTGATGGTTTGCAGGTGTCGCTGCTCGAGAAACGGCGCAGGCGTTACGCACATTGGCCCAAGCAGCCAGAGGCGTGGCAGCCAGCACCAAGGAGCCTCAGGCTGCAGCTGCAATGCTAGACTCAGCCCAGTATGTGATGGAGGGCTCGGCCATGCTGATCCACGAGGCCCACCAGGCTCTGGTTCACCCGGGAGACGCTGAGAGTCAGCAGAGGCTGGCGCAGGTAGCATCAGTCACACTAACCAACATAAATGTATATACAGTCAGAGAWAACACCGAGGGGATCGCATTGTTCCTTTTTACGCTGCTTCTTCACACTCCGCTGGTTTGTAAGCATTTCTGTTTCTCCATACAAATCATCTTCTCTAAGCGTCGCTATTTTCTCCCTGCTGCGTCTTTGTTGCCTGACAGTCCTCCCTCGGGACTAAAACCATTAATTTCCCTGCAAACCTTCAGGAGATAAACATATTATTTAGCATAAATCTGTGACAGCAGCAAAAATTAGTGACAGTACTGTGAGCTCAATTTGCATTTCAGATGTTTATTTATTTATTTATTTATTTATTTATTTATTTATTTATTTATTTATTTATTTATTTCCCCCCCCTCTTTGCTCTCAGGCTTTATTGTGTTGCACATTGTTAAAATGGGTAATGGCGGTCCATTGACAGACATTGTTACTGTGTTTCAGGTAGCCAAAGCGGTGTCTCACTCCCTGAACAACTGTGTGAACTGCCTGCCAGGCCAGAAGGACGTTGATATGGCTCTGAGGAGCATCGGAGAAGCCAGCAAGAAGCTGCTGGTGGATTTTGTGAGTCCTGCACAAAGAGATCCACATAATCGAACCTGTTATTTCTGTTTCGCCACTTCTTGTATTATGCAGCGTGGCTTAATAACGTATCCTGTCTTTGAAGCTCCCTCCCTGCAATAAGACATTCCAGGAGGCCCAGACTGATCTGAACCACACAGCAGCTGAGCTCAACCACTCAGCAGGAGAGGTCGTCCACTCATCTCGTGGAACCAGCAGCCAGCTGGCTGCAGCCTCGGGGAAGTTCAGCCAAGACTTTGATGAGTTCCTGGACGCCGGCATTGAGATGGCAGGACACACCCAAGTAGGTTTTACGATCACTCAGTTAGCCCTGCACATTCCACTCAAGCTTTTAAAACTTTGCTGGTCCAAAGTCTTTTATGCAAAGTGCATCTTTATCTCATTTTTTAGACATTTTTTAAYTGAACCTTTTCATCTCAAGAACTTAGGCACCCAGATTGTTTCTAGGAGCTAGAAGTTCTCGTTTTCAGATGAAACCCTGGGATGAGTTTGTTCTGGTTATTTTGCTCAAAAATGTAGAAAAATGGTCTGGGATTATTGTCGACCCAAAGACGCACACTAGTTACAAGAGAGAATGCAATACAATGAATGCAATCCAAATGAATTAGCACACCTGAGTCCATGCTAAAAATGCTTGTATTTGTCTTGCTTCTTGTGTGAACAGAGCAAAGATGACCAGATCCAAGTCATTGGTAATCTGAAGAATATCTCCATGGCATCCAGTAAGCTGCTGCTGGCTGCCAAGTCTCTGTCTGTGGATCCAGGTGCAGCCAATGCGAAGAATCTTCTAGCTGTGGCAGCAAGGTGCGCTCATTTCCAGACCGTAGCTGAAATGGATTGTTTGTTGATTATGTATGTGCTGAGAAACAGAGCTGTTCTGTGCTAAATATGAGTCCTGATATTGATTACCAARGCATGATGAATATACTAAAAGCGTCTCCCTGCTGCATCTGTATGCCCCTCCTACAACATGTCTGTTTGGCCTTGCTAAAAGGAGTACGCATCCTCCTCTTAACAGAAAGAAGCCAAGCAGCTGGTCCCACAGGGCTTTAGGCCTGACTGACTTCTCTCTGTCTAATTAGGAGGATGGAAGCCTTGGCTAGAGCTTGTCTGTGCTCAGCAAGGCTGAACACAAATTCAAGAGACTCTCAGCACTCCTGTGCACAGTGTTTTCCTGTCGCAGCGWGAGGCCTGCACCGCCATGCTTGAGCAGAGGAGCTAAAAAAGCATGCGTGAGCAAAGCCAGCCCCGTGTGTGCATGCAGACGACACATGTGAGAGTTAAAGAGGCTTCTTTGGCTGCCTGTGTGTTTCAGGGCGGTGACAGAGAGTATTAACCAGCTGATAACGCTCTGTACCCAGCAAGCAGCGGGACAAAAGGAGTGTGACAATGCCCTGAGGGAGTTAGAGGTAGCTGTCCTCACATTCACTTTACCACTCAAGCAAAAAAAAAAAAAAAACGGTTCATGTACATGTATGCATGTTTGTGTATTAGTACTGTACATGTGCAGTGCATTTTTACTGTACAGGAAGGCATTTCATTCTTGCATATGGTCACTTTCATAGGGCGGTGTGAACTGACATTGGAGCTGCATTGGTTTTGCTTGTTAGTCAAAACCGTTTTGCATTCTGAAGTCTGCATTCATTTGCACCATCCAATACTCTGTTAGTAATACAACAATAAAGAAATAGCTTGTTTTTGTTTAACTGATCTTTTTATATGTTGTGTAACAGTTATGGGCATTCAATATTTTACCTTCAGTTGATGACAATCAAAACTATTTCAATTAAAGAAACTGGAAGAAATTCTCACAAAGGAGACACGCTGTTMAAACTAAACTAGCCACCTATTTAAAACATGGATAACTGAAGATCAGATATCTATTATTTAACAAAGGTGTGTCACCGAGGGCCGTCAAATGACGAGTTGTAATTAAGTTTGACATTTCCTGTTTAACTATGACTAAACATGACAAGTCATGTTCATCTTATTGCTACAACTGAGCACAGCTAACAAATAATAACTGAAATTTTGTGCATAAAAACTGTTTTAAGACATCCTCTTACAAACACTGAAAATTACTACATGTGCAATGAAAAAAGGTGAAATTAATTATACAGAAATACTATTCAAAAATAGTATTAGTGAGTTTTACTCACTGTTGAGTTTTGATTTCCCACTTCCCAGTAGAACTGGGCCAAATCAAAAGTAACCAGCAAAAAGGCAGTGAAATGGAAACTTAGACAATGGATTTTGCTTGCTGCTGGTACTTTTGAACCCTGTACACCTCTACCTAGTGGTAGGATGACATCATTTTGTGGGTAAAATAATAAACATACATCATGAGAGATGCAGTTTATGGTCAATGCTGGCTTTAAAGCAACATACACTTATTTAAAGACATTAATACATCTTTGAAGCTCTCATAGGCCACATAAAATGCTTTAGTGGGCCACATTTGGCCTGTGGGCCTTGAGTTTGTCACAGTTGATCTAACACAACTCGAATAATGCTATATCAGAAATTATTTCTTATCATTTCCACATGTGCCAGTTGTTTCCTTTGTCACTACTTACTCATCTGAACAACGTCCGTGTTGCACAGAGGCGGCTGAATGTTTTCCACTTCTGATCAGCTGTGACGGCGTGCTGTGTCTCATTATGCCTGCAGTCTAACACTAAAACAACAGCCACAAGAAGGGAAAATTAGCTATTAGTAAAACACAAACAGTGTGCACGTTTTGAAGAGAGAACGGGGCATCTGTATGAGGATAGAGGAAAATGTTGGTCAGAGAGTTGGGACTAATCCTGGCAAACCTGGYTCATCAGTGGCAGGACATTTTCAGGTTCAGTGCATCTTGAACAGAGAAACTTGTGGCAACTCAAGTAATGTTAAATATTTGTAATTTCTCCATGAGCAGCTACAAAATGATTAGATTTGTATTGTTTTTGATGGTAGAAATTTGCTTTTTTAAAGGCTGTGTTCTACATAACTGTTAGCACCCCTCCCCCCAATTCTCCAAACTGCTATTGTTTTGACTTTTGTCTACTGCAGGTAAGATAATGATTGCTCATAAGAATGCCAGGCAACCTGATTCTAAAAATTGTCATTGATAGGCAAAATGTCTAAAAGTATCATCAGCCAGTGTTATTTTTGTTAAATGGGAATATTAAGGTCTAAATGAATTGGCTGTTGGATTTTCAGAAACCTTTTAGCAGAAATGTTTACTGGTGTGCTCACAGTAGTTGAAGTCATTAACAATTCCATCTGTGCGCAGGCTGTCAGGGGTCTCCTAGGCAACCTTAACGAGCCTGTAAACGAACTCTCCTACTTTGATTGCATTGAAAGCGTCATGGAAAACTCCAAGGTACAGGCTTCTGAAATTGTTTCACGAGTTGCTTAGTTTTGCTGTCGGTGGTATTTCTGTGAGTCAGCACACAACTCAAAACCTAACTCAGATGCTTTATTTGTGTCAGGTTCTGGGAGAGTCGATGGCAGGTATTTCTCAGCACTGTAAAACAGGTGATGTGCTAGCCTTTGGGGAAAGTGTGAGTTTGGCATCCAAAGCTCTATGTGGGCTGACAGAAGCTGCAGGACAGGTGAGCTCATCGCATCTTCCCAACACGTTCTGTTTGTCCTGGTTTAATGGGTTTTCATGTGTCAAGTTTATCATTAAACTGATAAGACTACTAAAGCTTTTTAAACGATAAACGAAAATAAGTTCAAAAATTTTGACAACCTCAAGTAAATGCCCTTTAGAGCTTACCAAAGTGCTTGCATTTGGAGCCAGTGACAGAGTGAGCTGGATTTAATTGGAGGTTTTACAGACTACCGCTCTTAAAGCTGTAACATCCTCATCTTCCTGCAAGATTGTCCTGCCCTTTCAAGAAAAGGGCAAACTCTGACCACTTTTTTTCCTCCACTCTGCTTTTCCACTCTCTTAACTCCCCCTCAATTTGTGCCTTGTAGAAAATTGAGTCTGTTACCATGTACTGTATACTGTATATTAGTGCGCAGACGTGTTAGTCAGAGACGTGGATCAAGTTTATCTGTTAAAACAAATAAAATCTTGTGGAAAATSACAAACCTGAAATTTTCTCTCCCCTTCTTTTTTTTCTGACTCTCATTAGTCCTCTTATCTCGTGGGCGTTTCTGATCCCAATAGTCACTCAGGTCATGAAGGGCTTGTGGACCCCATTCAGTTTGCACGAGCCCACCAAGCTATACAGATGGCTTGTCAGAACTTAGTGGATCCAGCCAGYAGTCCCTCACAGGTAAGACCATGCATCCCAAACATTACAAAACTGTTTCCYGGTTTATGGAGAWTGCAAAACCAAAATCCATGGAGGATATCCRATAGTGCCATAAAATRCAGCTGACGCAGATACATAGCTATAAATCAGAGGTTCTCAAACTGGGGTCCCTGGACCCCCAGGGGTTTGCGAGAGGTATCTTGGGGGTCCTCAAGAATTTTTACTAAAATGTAAATTTGGTTTTTATTTTTAAAAATACATGGAGATCAATGAACCAATAAAACAAACATAATAAACTAAATAAAAATATATATTCCCATGGCATTTAGGGGTTGAAATGACAATAAATTATCTTTTAAAACAGCATGGGGTTTATGAGGGGGTCCCTGGAATTTTTTTCGCCCTAACAAGGGGTCCCCAGACCCAAAAGATTTGAGAACCCCAGCTATAAATAGATGTCAGATACTTTGTGATGGGTGGGACACTTGTTTAATAGGCAGCATAAAGTAAGTGCTTGCTAACAATAAAAGTACTTGCTAGAGTGCCAACATACTCTGCTTTCTAATCGTATCATATTCCACAGTATTTTGTCACTCCATCTTATAAAAACTTAACTCTGGGTTCCACACACACCTTGTTTTCAGTTTATAGTGATGAAAATCTAAATTTTCATCATTTTTTAGCGACTCTAGTAGGAAAACAATAGTGATCAGCATGCACCCTAAAGCACAATGCAAAATCGATTGAAAGCTTATGTCTCTGCATTTATGTGGGCGTTACTTTGAGATCTTCTRYCCAACTCAACAKTGTCAGAGAACTAAGCAGCATTAGRCTAACAGWTGGAATTGCCTGACATATAATCCAAGACAATAATCAGGCTGCAAAATGTCCCTGATCAATCGGTATTGCAGATTTGGATGTCACAGAAAAATATATTTCTTGTCCTGACTGTTATGACAGCACATTGGGCATCAGCCCAACATTAGGCTGTTTGTTTTAATGTGGTGGATGACAACAGCTCATGAGAGAAAAATGTATTGTTGACTTGTTGCAAAGGCTTAATGCAGCATACTGCACCATGGCAGACACATTTACAAATGTTTTGTTTTTGTTTCTTGTGTCTCTGTTGTATCAGGTCTTGTCTGCAGCAACAATTGTAGCCAAGCACACCTCCGCTCTCTGTAACGCCTGCCGTCTAGCTTCTTCRAAAACCTCCAACCCCGTGGCTCGGAGGCAGTTTGTCCAGTCAGCCAAAGAGGTGGCAAACACCACTGCCAACCTCGTCAAGACCATCAAGGTCAACTCCCCAACTGAWCAAAACGTTGAGTGTAAATTTGTTACAGAAATTTCCTCTTCCTCTCTTTTTTTTAATCGAGTTTGCAGATGTATCRCATGTTCAGTCTCCTTCGAGAATGAGCCAAAAAAGGAACAAATATCTTTTCATGGGACCTTGTCTTCTTTCAGATGTTAGATGGGGATTTTTCTGACGAGAACAGAAACAAGTGTCGCGCTGCTACAACTCCTCTCCTCGAGGCTGTAGAAAACCTCTCAACTTTCGCCAACAATCCTGACTTTGCAAGCATCCCACCTCAGATCAGTAATGAGGTATTCATGTTTTTGATGATTATTTGAAAACCCAGTTATTTATGTTGTTTTTTAACCTCCTAATTACTTAAACTGAACAATAGTTGAAGTAGTTAAATTTTAAAGATACTTTTGAAACTTTCTTTGAAGATAATGTTGAAGACAACTGTTTTTTTTTTTTATTCTTACTCATATTTGGACAATGCTTGCCTGGTCCTTCAACTGCTCCATGGCTGCAGTCTGGTGGAGGGCACTGTTTAACAGCGTTTGCTCTCCCTACAGCTGCTGTAATCTTCAGCTTGTTAATCTAATTGTCAAGGGAGGTTTTTGCCTCGTAWCATAAAGATTGAAGGTGTTACTTTCTACGTCTGCCTTTCTAATCTCATCCCTTTGTTTGATTGCACTTTTGATCTCTCCACTGCAGCCAAAGAATATTAACAACTCTGTCAGACCAACATGGCTGTTCAGTCGCTACCTGCGCTGTTGTTTCACCTCCACTAATCTTTTCATTTCCCCCAGGGCTCAGCAGCCCAGGAGCCCATTGTGCGTTCAGCTCGTTGTATGCTCGACAGCTCCACATACCTTATAGAAACAGCCCGCTCGCTGGTCCTCAACCCCAAAGATCCCCCCACCTGGTCAATTTTAGCCGGCCACTCCAGGACGGTTTCTGACTCTATCAAAAGCCTCATTACGTCCATAAGGTTGGTGTAAATCCCACTCACAATCATGAATTTGTCTGTGCTGTTAGCTCAAACCAAAGATTAAAGTTACCCTCCCAATTGGAGGGAGAAAAAACAATTTCTGAATCTGTAGGAGTTGATTCTGTGATGTCTTTTCAGCTTTGGCAATAAATTGCAACTTTACTTTATAGTTGCCAAGATCTCCCACAGCTTTGCGATAGATTAGTTAACTCGCTGAAACAGTGATGAAATGATGAGACTGGACATGAAACATATTTCACAGCATGGCACTACAATCGTATCAAAAAGATAGTATACAATTTTCACTGCAAGTGAAATCTTAAAGAGGTTATATCCAATTTGCTGTTGACTGATGACAAGTCAGCCTTTGAGCAACTAGTTTATAGATGATAGGCGAATGAGGAATGTGGCACCGTGATCTGTTTAGTATACATCACAATCGGATTAGCTGATTTTATGCCCACATAATTCATACAATCAAATTATCTAATCTGAATACATTTTAATCTGGTCAAAGAATTTTGTATAAGTTTCAGTCGGTGAGAATGAGCCCAGATGCAAGCAGACACGAGGAACTTGGAAAAACAAAAAATATGTATTTAAACAAACAAAAGGAGCCGACAGGGCGGCAAATTTTACACAACCTTGGAGATTCACAGCAGGGAGAAAACCAGGAGTGGCTGAGACGATTGGCATGAGCCAGTGTAATGATCCACTAAGAAATCAACTGAAAACCCCAGAATGTGAAGGGGAGCTATAACAAGCCTAATCACAAACACCTGGTGAGGGAACAAACTGGAACAGGTGAGAGTGGACGTGACCAGCTGATGGAGAAAACACACAGGGGCTGAGTGAAAGATAGCACAGGGAACAGGAATAATACGTAAACCAGAATCCAAATTAAAGAACTGAAACAACACAAAGAGTGGTAAGGTAAAGACTGAAAGCATTCCAAAATATGAGCAACTTCAAAAATACAAAGAACAAGAACACACAGGTATGACAATGTAAACTTTATTCATGCTAACTGCTTTTAGCATTACGTGATTACACCAATGTATAAGCTAGTTTTTTAATTTAATTTTATTTTATTTTTTGTGTGTGTTGCATTTAAACATGTTAATAATGGACAACATTTATTAATTATCAGTGATCAATTTAATCAGTTAGAAACTGACAGAAGTGTAAATAAATAGTTTATTACAGCAGCTATCACTGTGTTTTTATTTGTGTGGCGGCCATATTGAATTTTGGGGATGTGATTAAACAGAAAATCAAATCTATGACTTTTTGAGGGAAGCCTTATAGTTTGTTTATTTATTTATTTATTTATTTATTTACAATGTGGTTTGTATTCCAACTTTGAAGTTCAAGTGGATTTAACCACAAATCATTTGGTTTTTTTTTTATTACTACTGGTGACAGGGACAAAGCACCAGGGCAGAGAGAGTGTGATTACTCCATTGATAACATCAATAAGTGTATCCGGGACATTGAGCAAGCTTCCCTGGCAGCAGTTGGGCAGACACTTCCCTGCAGAGATGATATCTCCATGGAAGTGAGTTCAAGTACCCCATAACTCTACCTTGTTTGACAGAAATAACTGATACCTGTAAAAATTTCTGTTGTGACTCGGGCTGTAATTTTCCAATGATGTAACCCAACAGGCACTCCAGGAGCAGCTGACATCCTCTGTGCAAGAGATTGGTCATCTGATTGATCCTGTCTCCACAGCAGCCCGAGGCGAAGCTGCCCAACTGGGACATAAGGTGCTGGTCACACCATATATCACTTTACCTCCTTCGGACTCACAATTTAAAAAAAAAACGTTATCTGTCTGTTTTCTGTGCTGTGATTCAGTGCTACATAAATTTCTTAAACACATTCCTCCAGGTGACCCAGTTGGCCAGTTACTTTGACCCGCTCGTTGTGGCATCAGTGGGCCTGGCCTCAAAGCTGCACGATCACCAGCAGCAGATGACCATCTTGGATCAGACTAAGACCCTGTCTGAATCTGCCCTTCAGATGCTCTATGCTGCCAAAGAAGGCGGGGGGAACCCAAAGGTACAGAGTTGACTCTAGTGCACAGATGTTGTACAGTAATGCAGTAAATGTAATTCAGTCTGGTATTTTCAAGGGTGGGTCTTTGTTATGAAGGTAGTTTAACATTTTGTCAAGGTTTCTTTGAGTCTTGCTGACCAGTTAGTTCTTTATGAGTCACATCGGCTGTGTCCACATTGAGGGGCTGTGTCCTTCGAAGGACCCGGCCCACGTAGACTGGGTGGGCCGGGTTCTTCGTCGGACACGAAGACTTGAAGAAAGTTGGCTGTGAATTTGGACGGTCCTTCAGTTTTATTTCCGCCTTCACCCTGGCATATGTCCTGTCACCCAGCAACTGTGACAGCACTAAATAGAACCAACAAAGATTGAATATAGATACAATTTTGCAAAATATTGCTATATTATTAATATTAATTCTGTATTATAAATTAACAAAATTGGCAGAGGCACAGTGGCTCAGATGGTACAGCCGTTACATCTCAGCCGGATTGAATCCCAGCCAAGGACTTTTCTGGGTAGAGTTTGCATGTTCTCTCCATGCATTTGTGGGTTTTCTCCAGGCACTCCAGTTTCCTCCCACAGACAAAAAAAACATGGCTGTTAGGCTAATTGCTAACTCTAAACTGTCCATAAAGACGTGAGTGAGAGAGTGAATGGTTGTTTGTCTTATTTGTCTCTCTGTGTGTCCCTGTGATGGACTTGCAACTTCTCCAGGGTGTACCCCGTCCCGTGCACCGTGACTGTTGGATATGGACACCAGTGACCTCTGTGACCCTGAAAGGAAAAAGTGGGATGGATGGATGGATGGATGGATGGATGGATGGATGGATGGATGGATGGATGGATGGATGGATGGATGGATGGATGGATGGATGGATGGAAACNATGGATGGATGGATGGATGGATGGATGGATGGATGGATGGATGGATGGATGGATGGATGGATGGATGGATGGATGGATGGATGGATGGAAACTGTACTCCTGACACTCACTTAGTCCAAAATCACAAGCACAAAAATAATATCTTGGTCGACCCACAGTGCATCATCAGGACATGGTGGTTCCAAGAAGGATACACCAGACCTGTCCCTAAAATCAGGGCAAAAGGAGGACACATTTGTAGGCCATAATTGGAGGAGCCTTCGAGTTTGGACAGCCTTCGGCACGCCACTGTTACATTATCTGTCTTTAAATTCGACCTTTGAAGGACGCAGCCCCTGAATTTGAGCATGGCCACTAACTCATTTATATGGTGTCCTGATGCATTTCAATAAACCAGTCTCTTGGAGAAAAGACAAAACATTTTCAACAAAGAACTCATCAAGAGGACCTACTCAATTTTCTTTTAGATAATTTATACGGTGGTTCTTACTCACCTGTTAGCTCATCAGTGGAGATTTTAACATACTTATGTTTTAACACTCAAGCTGAATAAGCCAGGGACTGACACTTCATCCTTCTGATTTGTGGATGACACACCACCACAATCCACTTTTAATAGTGGATTGCCAAAGAACTCTTTTTTACAGTAATTTTCCCAGTATTTTATGTCACAGTTGTAAATGATGGAGCCTTCAGTTTTTGGAGTGATCTTTAATTAAATACTTAGATCAAATTAGTTCAACACAACTTGGACTTTTTTATCTGGATAACCAAGGCTGTTGCAGAGATGTTGACGAGCTGCTCGTGCCCTCAGGCATGCCACACTCATGACGCCATCTCCGAGGCCGCCCAGCTGATGAAGGAGGCTGTGGACGACATCATGGTGACTTTGAACGAGGCAGCGAGCGAGGGGGGTATGGTTGGTGGCATGATGGAGTCCATTGCTGAGTCCATAAGCAGGGTGAGTGGAGAGTGTTAATGTATGTGGGCTACAGTCGAATAGGAAGTCCTCTTGGGTTATTAAAATTGATTTCAGGCTGAAATAATTTTATTTTCTGATTCATCTGAGGGGAGACTGAGGTATTTCTGGGGGGAAAAATGTTAGAGGAGATTCTGAGGGTTTGTCCTTGTCAGTAATTATTACTGGTTCAGTAGATGATCACGTGCAAACATCCTGCAGGACGMCGTGTCAATATGTTGAATATGTTGACAGTGTGGTTAATATTTGATCTGCATGTATGGAAACACAATGCTCTTAGGTCAGGTGGTAGCCATCTTTTTTATGGCGTAGTTTGTACTTCATATGTAAAAAAACATATTTCAAAAAGACAAAAACTGATTTTATTTTTCTAATTTCATTATTCATTAGCTCCTTTTTATTGATTCATAACATATCTGAACCTCCTACGGTTTTGCCCCTCTGAGAGGAAGACAAGCAATCTATTGTTGACATTTTAGTATTCACAGCTTAACATTTAATAGTTTGTTGATTTTTTTTACTTTGTCCGCTTGTTAGAGCAGGCTTTTAAAAAATTGCGAAACCATAATTTCCATGTAATACAATAAGAAATGCCCCTCCAAACATGGTGCCACTCCTTGATAATAATTTGTTGTGAGGTGGTTCTAAACTTAATTAAAAGTGTCACATAAATCCTGTGTAAGTGGTCATACCTAGAGTAAATGTAATCAGGGTTGAGAGTACTTAAAGAACTGATCTTCACAGCTGGATGAGGGCACACCTCCTGAACCTGAGGGCTCTTTTGTGGATTACCAGACCACAATGGTCAAGTTCTCCAAGGCCATTGCCATCACTGCACAGGAAATGGTGAGACGATTTCTAACACGAGCCAGAGAAACCTCACTATGTTTGTGCTGATGAGATGCGGTTTTCTCTCTCTGCAACCAGATGACTAAATCAGTGACCTGCCCCGAGGAGCTTGGTGGTCTTGCCTCCCAGGTGACAGTGGACTATGGGCAGCTCGCACACCAAGGACGTCTTGCTGCAGCCACTGCAGAGCCAGAGGAGGTGAGCGGCACGACCGTCATTCTATCACAGAAGACTCCCCCGTACATTTCATTTGTCTTGTCTCGTCTTTGCGGTAGCTGTGCAACCTGACACACTCTCTGATGAAAGCGGAAATTTCCTATTCTTTGATAACTCACAGCTGCACCAGCAACGTGAGATCAAACAGAAATGTGTTCCTCTTGCTCCATCCTCTCTTACCGCTCATCTAAAACTTTCCCCATTGTCTTCAGGATGGTAACGTGTGCAAATATTGCACTAATAGGCGCACAGCTCTTATCGGTTTCTTGTATGTAACAAGCTGCCTGACATCCTTTTTGTTGCCATAGCAACATTGCACCTCTACACGTCTAAAAGCCTATGCCGATGCTTGTAATGAAGTACCACCCACCCATGAATTGCAGTCAGGAAATTAAAGGTGTAGTGCCAGCGTTTCCTCTTCGAGGGTGCTTGAAATGTTATTCCCCCTACAGGCTAGTAAGAGATCCGTCCTCATAGGAGATGATTGTGATTTTCCACTAAATTGCCGCAAACAAGAACATGGTTGCGGTGTAATTTGAAGCCATTTTATGCTTTCAGGTTGCTTTCCAGATAAAAACACGGGTGCAAGAGTTGGGCCATGGCTGTATTTATCTGGTCCAGAAGGCTGGAGCTCTGCAGCTCAGCCCCACTGACAGCTTCTCCAAGAGGGAGCTCATTGAGTGCGCTCGAGCAGTCACAGAGAAGGTAGGCAGTTTAATCAGGAACTACCCAAGCATGTTTGACTTTGGTTAAATGTATAAACTTTTTCAAAGGCTAATTTTGTTGTCACCATTTTAATAAAACCAGCATTCATTGGAAAAAATCTGCCTACTACTTTGCCTTCTATAGTTTTAAACAATTTTGCATGATCTGGTAACACTGGGGATGTGAGTTGGGGATGACTCTCAGCTACTACCAAAAAAAATCATAGCTTAAAATGAGTAAAACTGATAGAGTTGTTGCCATTTTCACATTTCCTAAAGTTGATGAGCTGTGGCAGCATCTTGAATTGGGTTGACTCCAAAATTTAATCAGTTTTCGATTTTATATCCAAAATGTTGAGGTGAAAAAAATCCCAAATCATGAGGTGGGCTCTGTTTCAGTGAATAAACATATTTTGGTGCTTATGTTTTAAAAAAACATGTTCTAATTAAGTCTTTACTGCATTTCACCTGTCCTTCCCTCTTGATTGGATCATGTGTTGTCACCTTTTTTTACTCATGATGCTGACATAAAAAATACCACCTGAACATGCTACGAAGCTCAAAATCTGATTATTTTTTAGCATGTTTTTTAATATATTTTTTGGTTATGCTTTCTTGTTACACCTGCACAGAGTTATAAGAATGTGGGTTTCATGTATCCCATTAAACACAGTAATAACTGCTGTTTTACTTTTCCATTGTTCCATTTTTGAAACCACACCATTCTGACTGTTACAGTTAACAATAGCACCATATCTTTATGCGGTGGCCCTGGCAGCTTCTGAGTATGACTCACAGATTTACACAGCACTCAGAGGCAGTGATCCAGGCCTAAAATTATACAATTTTATATGGTAATTGGGCATTATTATTTGTTTATAATTATATAATATGTTTAAAACTGTATGAGTGGACAAAATAAACGATTCATTGTTCAGCCTTTGTCTCTTCCTATTGTTCCATTTTTATTGTTTAAATAAAGTAGAACAGCTATCTCACAAGCCTGGTTTACAAGAAAGAGCCCTGCAGCTAATAGTTACTGTAGGTAATTATTTGAGCTTGAGGCTGGATTTTATTGATTTATACCTCTGAGCAGCATGTTTCAGATATTTTATTTTTATTTTATTTATTTATTTATTTTTTATCTTCACATGTTCCAGGTGTCCTTGGTTCTGTCAGCACTGCAAGCAGGTAACAAAGGCACCCAGGCCTGCATCACAGCAGCCAGCGCTGTTTCTGGAATTATCGCTGACCTGGACACTACCATCATGTTCGCCTCAGCTGGAACACTGAACTCTGAGAACGAAGAGTCTTTTGCTGATCACAGGTGCAATGACACCCCCTACACACACGCAAACACACACACACACACACACACACACTCCCTGCCCTACCCCTGCCTAACCACCACCACAAACAGGACAAGCAGTTAACACTGAAGAGTGATGTTTAAAGTGCAGGAGGCAGTAAAATTTTGTTTTTTTTTTAATGTAATGTTCCAAGATTTGAATTACCAAACAAATCAACTTGTGTGAATTTGAATGTGGCTCACGCAGAAGAAAGATAATTTATCAGAAAATTAAACTAGAAAAATTCTGGTTGAAGCTAAAAGAAAAGGCAGAACACTAGCTTAAAGCTAAAAGGAGCAAAACACTAGCTAATACTAGTAAAATCTAAAAGGAACAAGAGGGCAAAAAAATGAGCAAAAAGAAGCCTTAGCCAAAATGTGCAGCTAGCAAAAGGCAAGCTATAGGTAGCAAATTGATAGCTAAAATCTAAAAGTGGCAAAAGAAAACAAAAATAATGCCAGTATGCTGCAGCAGATTTCAAAGAGAACAAAGTTTTATTTGTATTGAAGATTTTTTTGTATTTCTATGGGGAAAATGTTTGCAAATACAGTTAAACATTATGAAAACTTTAAAAGTTACTAAAACCAAAAGTCACAGCATCCGTCTTCCGATTGAACTGAACGTTTTGATATAAATGAAGTGATAAATTAACACAAAATATCCACAGGTAGGTTGATTGTGAAAAAAATGTGCTACTGAAAAATAAAAAGCAAAACAGTCCTGCTTCAGCAGTTACACAATTAAGTATTTTTGAAGATTGCCAATAAAAAACTGTACAAAACAAACACTTTGTTCAGAGTCAGTTCATGGTGACGCTGCTTTTGCATGACTATGGAGCAGATTGTCACACAATGTTGTCCCGTCCCTCAGGGAGAGCATTCTGAAGACGGCCAAGGCGCTTGTGGAGGACACCAAGCTGCTGGTTGCAGGAGCTGCGTCCAGCCAGGAGAAACTGGCCCAGGCTGCTCACTCATCAGCCAAGACCATCACCCAGCTCACAGAGGTGGTCAAACTGGGAGCAACAAGCATGGGATCTGATGACCCCGAGACTCAGGTGATTAAAAAAAACATAAATTCTACTCATTTCAATATGTCATCAAAACATTGTTTGTTCAATATTAGCCTATAAAAAGTCTTTCACCTAACTGTACATATCATATTTAATTCTCTTTATAAATCCTTTTTCATCACACATTGCATCACTTCTCTCCCCTGAGTTCATGTCTCCGTCTCTGCTCTTCGCTAAGCCTGAAGTATCATGACTAGCTGCGAGCGATAAGTGCTAAATCCTCTCTCTGAGGCACAACTGATAAGCCAACACTCTAACCATTGTGCTTTATTGATTCCAACTCCATCCTCCTCAGGTGGTTCTGATTAATGCCGTCCGGGATGTGGCCAAAGCTTTGGCTGAGCTCATCGGTGCCACCAAATGTGCTGCAGGCAAAGCACCCGATGACCCGTCCATGTATCAGCTGAAGAGCGCTGCCAAGGTAAAGGAGCAGACCACTAAAACAAACAATTGTTGTGTTCACAAGTGGATGGAGACTGTAGATATGTATTCTGCAAATGTCTGGTTTGGTGTATCGAGGAGCACAATGCTAAGCCACTTTTTTTTTTCTTTTTGTAAAGAACCTACGACAGCTCTTATCAGGGTATTGCTGTTTTTTTACCTCACATCTGTAGAGCTGGAGCTCTCACTGAAATATACTGAGTGTGTATATTTGTCAATGTGAAAGAGAGGGTTTGTGTGCTTTACTGAGAGCTATCTATATCAAGATGTTCAGGTGTGTCACTTCAGGAAAACCGTAGCATGGCAGAGCTTTTATTTTTTATTTTTTGTTCACTCAAATGTCAAGATCTACTCAAGGTTTTTCCCAACAATTTTAAAAATAAAGTAGCTCAAGTTTCTTTCTAAGAAAGAACTTTCTGCAAGTTTTTTTCTTGATGTGCATAGATATGCATGCATATACTGTATTTATTTTTTAAAATTGGCTTGTTTATTTATACAACCAGGCAAATCCCACTGAGATCACAGATCTCTTTTGCACGGGAGGCTTGGGCCTGAAGGCAGCCTAACAAGTTTTACAAAATAAGTTTTACTAAGTATTTATTCGATATACATTATCTTTTGGAGTCAGCCCATTTCAAGTTATCTGCCACAGTTATTCAACCTGAGTAAAATTAAAAATAGCAACAACTCAGTCAGTTATATGGATATTTAGCTGAATATTAGTGTGGCAGTAGCTGTCAGTTATCCTCATCACATGCTTGGAGCACTAAGTTAGCTTCAGTTTGATAGAAAGGARTGTAAAAATCAAATGATTTAAAATAAAGAATGTAAAGAATAGAAGTGATGAATGAAATGTTGGTTCAGGAAGTTAAAGAAAAAAATTGAAAAAGTCTAAATGTTTGCAGTCAAGGTGAATGCAAATATTGAGCATGAAACCAGAATTTGTTTTGTTTGTTTGATTTATTTTAAGCTTGTCTTTATGCTGAACACATAACAGCAGCAGAAAATCCTGACTTTCGGATTTTGAATATAAAATTTTAAGCTCCTCCTGGTGATCATTTCTTTAGGCAATATAGTTTACCAGCTGAGCAGCCGGGGAAATACAGAAGCTGTGCAGTTATCACGTAGCTCCAAAAACTTTATTAAATACATTTAGCTGCTGATGCAGAAAAGATTTAGGCTTGGCTAGAATTTATTTTACTCTGCTGACATTGCCCTAAGTAGAACACAAATGACAAACCTGTTTCAACTCATCATTGACTAAATTCAATTAAGTTATGTTAATTTCATGTTTCATTAGCTGGAAATCAAGTGATTTTAGGTACTTCTTTTTAGGTACATTTAGTGCAGCTCCTGGGTTCTGCTGCTCCTGTCACATTAGAAATCAACAGCAAGCAATAAAATGCAGACTGGTTACRCTGAGTGATGAAATACTGTGTCAGCCTACAAATTTATCATTTGCAACAAATTTCCCAGCCATTTTCTCAAGCCTCATTACATTGTGCCTTTTTTTCCCGTAATTATTTTTTACATTCAGCATTTCATTAAACCAGGTTGTTTCCGTACTTCTGAAGCATAAAGCTCATCACAAACATGTGTAATGACAACCTTTGATAGAAAAGCTTAAAGTTATAGTTCTGATTTTTGGAAGTGGAGTTCTGTTCAAAGTCTATGTGCAAACATCTTATCTGACATTGATTTAAAAATATTGAAGTTGATTTATTCTGTAGAATAATCACTGGTTTGTGAGATTTATGAAGGTAAYTTTAGCCTTTCTCAGCCTTCTTTGTTTAACCACATGACGGTGCAGAGGATATTTCATGATAAAAGTATCATATGATGCAGCCAAAATAACTACTGGTGCTCAGATTGTAAATAGAAAACAAAATCAATATAATGGTTCAATTAAAATTTAAGATAAAGTTCAGGTTAAAGTCTGGTTTTCTGTTTTCAACCTAAATAAAGTACTGATTTTATGTTGTTTTATTAATCCTAAGGATTTAGTAAATTGCTCTTCAAATGGCTGGAAAATGCAGAGTTTTGAGTAGATTTTATACAAAAGTTTTCTGGAAATCGTGGAAATCTTTATTTTACCTAGACAGAAACATGACATCCAAGAACAAAAAGTACTCCGTGAAAGGTCAATCAGGATTTATTGCAATATGCAAGACACACATCATGTCACATAGGGCAGTGGTACAAAATGTGTGCACCGAGGCAGTTTCAAATACATGCATTTACACAGAATATTATTAATACAGACAGTAAACATCTCTCTTGGTGCTAAAACTGGGCCAAGGAGAGAATGATGTTGGATAAACAGCAAAAGAAAACAAAAGATAAAAAGTAAAATCATAAAACATGATGACATTTTAAACCAAGCAAAAGAGGTCACTCACTTTTGGCCTGAGAAGAAATGGAAGACTTTAAAGGATAATTTATTTTTCCAGGACAGCATACCCTTGGAACCCCCTAAACCTGTTTCACTGCATGGCTGCTCCTTAACATGTTGTAGACTTTTAATTTTCTGTTTAGAATGAATTATTTTAACGATTTTAATTGGAAKATCTAGTTTCTAAAGATAGAACAATAATGTCAAAGACAAAACTCACTAATTGTATATGCGACTGTATATAAATTGGCAGTGAGATTTAGAAAATTGCACAGCTGAAATCTTGCCTAGGGTGCCAAATTGGCTTGGGCCGGCCCTGCTTTCAGACTTGTCACAGAACTGCATTTTAAAAGATCCAAACAGTTCCTTCAAAACTTTAGAGCGAACATGTAAAGCTAATTTGGAGCTAAGGAATGCTTTAAAGATAACAAAGAAAGCTCTTGAACACTTTTTACTAGCTATGCGACATTAGATTTCAGCACATACTTTGTCTCACACCTCTGATCAGATGAAAGACGTTAACCTGCTGAAGGTAGAGAGTTATCGTTTAGCTCTGATCTTCMGAGCACCACCACATCTGTCAGCTGCTGAGTAACTAAAACTGCAGCTCAGAGCTCTCTTGTGTGTGRCCTTTGTGCAGCTGTGTTCACTGAATGGAATGAATCAAGAGCACAGCTTTATTAGCAACAGACCATCGTCTTACCTCTAAAAAGAGAACTTGAGCTGAATTTTCTGAGTACATTTAGTATATCTTTGTCGCTTAAGGAATCATCACACTAACCTCCACACTTAGCTGTTGCACAATGGTTTTTGTGCGTGTGCGTTTTCTCATCTAAATGGAATTAAGGCCACCCATGGATGTCCTCATGTTGACAGATTGTTTCTGCTCCTCCAACATATGGTGACCTCCATCAAAGTCCAGGCGATCGTGTTTCTCAAATTACAAACCCAAGCATGCACCCAGTTTGCTGGAAGTGGCACTGACAGCAAAATGTATCACAATGAGTCAGGAAAATTTAAACAGTTTTCTCTTTTTTTTTCTTCCCATTCTTAGCCAGTAAGTTGTTTTCCCAGCARTGAATCACACTTTTTTTATTGGAAATGCACCCTTTTGTCTTCTGTTCCCGTATAATGCCATGTTCTCTTTCAAAAAGCATCTTTAACAATATTCTTTGYTGTAAAATCATCAAAAATGGTTTTTAATTTTTATTATTGCCTCCGAGGAGGAGAAGGTCCACTTCCTGGTTTGAGTTCAAGCCTCAGCATTGCTCTCATTGTTGACAGGTCATGGTGACCAACGTGACGTCTCTTCTAAAAACAGTGAAGGCGGTGGAGGATGAAGCCACTCGTGGGACAAGGGCACTAGAGGCCACCATAGAGTTCATCAAGCAGGAGCTGACAGTAAGTGTTCCTGACAGGCCCAGCCTTTTCTTTCTGGTCTGTTGAGAGTTAAATGATGAGGCACAGCCGCTGCACAAAGTTGGCTCATGAAGAGGTCAGGGATATCTCTTGTCTATTATTCTGAACAACACAGGGGAGCTTTTTGTTCTTTTTTTCTTTATTATTGTTCAGCTCCATTCCTCTTGCGTTTCTCGTAGCCCCTACAGGTATTCCACAAGCTCTTATCAGAGTTAGGGTAACAGACACGTCGCCGAAGTAAGAAATGACGATTTCAAGAGCTTGTTTTTGTGTAATATATTGCTAATCCCCATCAGAAGAAAGGGGGCTTAACCTAAAGTTAATCTAATTAGGTTACAACTTACATTTTATAGAAGTTTTGAGTCTTGTTTGCACAACCTTTCTGAGCTGCGTGCCTTCATCCAACCAGCTGTGTTTGTGGGTCATCTTCGTGTCAGGTGTTCCAGTCCAAGGACGTCCCGGACAAGTCCACCACGCCCGAGGAGTTCATCCGCAAGACAAAGGGCATCACTGTAGCAACGGCCAAGGCGGTGGCAGCAGGCAATTCCGCTCAGCAGGACGACGTGATCTCCACAGCCAACCTGAGCCGCAAAGCCATCTCTGATATGCTGACTACCTGCAAGGTGCTAATCCGCTCCACCCTCTGCCAGCACAGGCCCCCCGCAGGCTCCGCAGGGCTGCCAGAGAACGTGTGAGCGCAGCCCTGCTGAGAGCAGATAATGTGGAGTCAGGTTTGTTTTGTGGATGCTGCTGCAGGTAGTGACTCCGCCGCTTTTCAAAGTCACACGAGCAGCCATCAGTCAGAGCGTCCTCTAGCTCCTGCAGAGCGCTCGTAACAAGGGAAAACAGATGGATGATTGGGCCATTTAGGTGTTAGAACCAAAGCAGTGCAAAAATAAAGCCTTTCTGAGTTTTGTTCAGCTATCGGTTTGCAATCGTGTCTATTAAGTTCATATATCACAATGTTATGTAATTAAAAAATCTAAACACATTTTCTTACTTCAGTAAGCCATGTTAGTTTATACAATATGCTTTCCACAGAACCGACCCCATTTCTTTTGAACTAAATGTCTCTTTCATCTCGCTTTAATGTTTGTTTTTTCAACTTTACAGCAAGCAGCACATCATCCTGAAGTGAGCGAGGAGTTAAAAGGCAAGGCCTTGCAGTACGGCTCAGAGTGCACCACCAAATACATCAACCTCCTGGAGGAAGTGCTGCAGGTTGGGCTGAACCAGTCACATGGCTCATAAATAAAAACCCAAAATTGATTTATGTTTGTGTGCATGTAGCTCAAGTTTTGGCAAAGTTGTATTTGTGTGTGTGTGTGTGTGTGTGTGTGTGTGTGTGTGTGTGTGTGTGTGTGTGTGTGTGTGTGTGTGTGTGTGT